AGGGACACTGATAGGCTTTCGTATTTATAAAATAAGAAAGCTTAGCATAAAACATACGATTACACAATTATATATAAAGAATTATGACCAGGTTCTTATCCTAACAAATTTTCTAGACGTTACTAAATGTTTCAAGCAAACATTTTTATCAGCATAATGAATAAATTGCTCGCCGATGTGCTCCACCCTTTACTACATTTAATGCATCAATAAAATGTTCGCCGTAAATACACATGGCGGGACGACGGATAAACTGGATTAAATTTCTCTATATTTTCATCTTTCTATGGAGGTCCAATTGGCACACCTATTTGCATGAGTACTAGTTTCTACTACAATTGTAGTAAGCATGCCACAAACGTAGAATTTAACATTAAATCAAATTAATTCAAAGAAAACAAGTAATATACATGCAAAAGAGAACTAGTAATATACAAATGCCTAATTAGGGAGCCATTACTTTTTTAGCGTGCATTGTCATTTAAACCGTGCGGATGTGTCACTTCAAATAACATATTATAATAAAAAAAACATAAATGGCATTCCATACGATATAACAAACATACAATTAAATTATAAGCCAAACACGAATTAATAATATAAGAATTGTATAAAAAACATCAGTTCACTCAAAAATTCATGCCAGAGTAACTATAAAAAGAGTATAAAAAATTCCAACGCCTAACTACAAAATGAATAAAAAAGTGGAGTAAAAAGAGAACCTAGTATAACTACGTGCTTCAATTGTATATAAGACTAAAAGGGACTCGTCAGATTGGTAGCAGCCACCTTTTGTTAACAGTAGGTTTGGATTGGTGTGCGTTTTATGTATTATTTTGTATGTGTATGTATGATGTGTCGGTCGTGTTCTTAAAGTTTCATGTCAATATTTTTATATGTATTAAGTATCACATAGTAAAAAGGTGAGTGAGGTACCTTCAACCTATCCTAATCCCTAAGCAAATGATAGTAAATGATGCATGTTCATAATTTGCAATGTTTATCTCATTACGAATATTGTTTTATTTAAACAAAACATATAAAAACTTTAGATGTTTTCCAAAATATATTGAACTACAGATATATAATGAATCCATTATTAACTTAACAGTATAAACAATTACAATTTAACCTGTCATTAAAGTAAGGTCTCCTTTGGTCGCCTAGTTAAAATTCTGATTAATTAACGCACAATATGGACAACTGCAGTGTGCAATATAAGCATTATTTAAAATTTATTTATTTTAGAAGTGAGGCGTTTTAAAAGCAAACCTATGTTTGAAATTGCACGTCCCGCATGCACCCTTTACCCGCGAGACCGCCGACGGCACGCCCACCGCCGCCGGTATGTTGTTGATGGAAAACGGTTCTGGCTAATAATATTAGACTACCGTGTACCGGATATGTTGCCCGTATACTAGACAACCTAAATAAATTATTTATTTCCGAACTAGCGTCAAGAATAAAGAAAAACTAAGCTCGAAATATTTTATATTATTTTCTACATTCATTTTTACAATGAGAAAGAACAACGATAATATATTTATAAATAATAAAATGCACTCACTTGTATCGTATCATATATTTCTATGTTATCTTTAAATACTTTTTTGTTTGAAGTAGAGACGTTTTAGTAAGGACATTGGGGGATAGAAGTTAGAACCTATGATCAATTGCAATTAAACTTTGAGATATTTATGAGAGATTTTTCTAAGAAAGGGAATTGTATGCCTTTAACTACTGCAGTGAGACCTACATATAATCTTAGGATTTTCTAACAAACTTTGAATTGAGTTTCAGAAACGGAAATAATGTAAAGACTCGCTTAGAGTATTTTTATTACATATGAAATATTTTTTATTTCACTTTTACTATACTTGTTACAGTCGAATTTCTTTAAAATTATCATCATCATCAATGTATCTATATTTTAGTGACTTGTCGGAAAATAAATTAATTTCTATCTACATCGACTTGCATGGACGGAATGAATGCAATTATCATCAAATTTGCATCACGAAATCAGTACGCAAGCCTGAGTCTATTTTTGTATTCCTTTATATTAGGCTATTTACAAAAACTAACAAAAGTATTTATAAAACATATCTTCCATATCAGTAATCACACGATAGCTTATAATAGTACACCCGCCTATTGATAACTACTTCTCTAAATTAGTCTTTCATATAAAATTATTTAATGAATACTGCTTAGATTCTTAATATACTTTTTAATTATCAACTTAAAAGTAAACAAAACTTCGAATACATATTTGTACATAATACCTAAAGTTATGATGTTATAATAATATTGTTTTAAAATCACATTTAGTTACATTTAGTTCAGAAAATACGAACGGTAAGCTCATATTATATAAAAAAATATCAAAAGTAATATACATCGAGGTTAGTTTTTATTATTTGCGCTTTTACGTTTTACGTCCACAAATACTGCCAATGTGCGTTCCGCCTCGTTCCACTGACACACAAAATAACTCACAAAAACTTCTAGTCGGATGGGCTCACAATACGAACATGGAAGTGGTTCATGTTTGACCGACTATGATTATCAATTATATTTTATGGTAAAAAGTGATTAAAAAAGAAAAAAAATAATGGAATAATATTAATCATCCTGCCTATTATAAAAGTTTACATTTTTTCGAGTAACATATCGAAATATCATAGTTAAATTTATTTATTCTTATTATTTTTTATACATAAATCAACTACGCTTCGTAAATCAGCCATTCTCAGTAATACATCACAATCTCTATATAATTAGCTGGTGAACTTAATTAACTGTAAAGCTACATTACTATCTCCTGAAGTTGTATCTAAAAGGAAATGCGGTAAATACAGTATCAAATAAAGCAAATTTCACATAGGCATCTCTAGAAAATAGTGTCTCTCAGTCAGGATGAAATCTGAAAGGAATTTAAATAACGGCTTACTATTAAAGCTGTTTGAAGGTGCCATTACATTGTACGAGAAAAGCGATAAAACCTGCTAGGTTTCGTTTCAATTTAACAAAGCGGAGTTAAGTGACTGCTACGGGGTCAGCGCACGCCACTGAATGGAACGCAATAATACCTACAATACATAACAATCTTGGAATAGATCAAATATCGGTCTGGCTATCTCTGAACAAATGACAATTGAAAACGTATATTCGATATATACTTTATACTGAAAAATATATTTTTTTCTCCGACATTTTTAATATCGCTAAAAACTTTTTAACAAAAAATAAAAACCGACTTGCAGGCACTAAAATGTAAAAAATAGCTAAACGGAGGTTTTCATTTACAATAGATACCTAATCAGATATTTTTGAAGTCGGTGCCAGCCGATGCAAATCAAATCTAATATATTTCGATACATTTTTACCTATTAAACATTCATATTTTAAAATATTGTAGGTTAGGTTAGCTAAATATTGTAGGTTTTTATTTTTTGTTAAAAAGTTTTAATTTTTACATTTTTAGTGTAGACGTAATAAGCAGATAATTTGTAACAAGAAAGTCTTTTAATAACTTATTCGATTAAGAAATTTATTTTAAAAAAATATTTATTGTAGATTTTTTTAAAAATCGCTCTGCCGATTTCGATAAAATTTATATGGGACCACCTGGGAAGTATACCCTTTGAAACAAAAAAAATCCAAATCGGTGAACATATATAAAAAAAGAAGAAAAAGAAAAGATTCCGACGAATTGATAACCCCCTCCTTTTTGGAAGTCGGTTAAAAATAATCTATACATATAATAAAATTGTAACTAAGCCGAATCCGTACATTAAATATTTTTTGGAAAATTTTATTGAAATAGACCTTATTATCGATACAGAGTCCGAATCTATAGTTTTTAGAATTTTTGTCTGTCTGCTTGTCTGTATGTTACCGCATCACGAGAAAACCACTGAACAGATTTTGATGAAATTTGGTATGATGATAGCTGGTTATCCGGGTCAACATATAGGATACTTTTTACCGCGGGGAAAATTTCTAATTATTGAGAAAAAATACATAAACTGCAATGTAAGAGTATACTTATATATAAAACTTAAGAATTTGGTTTTTTGTCATCTGAACGCGGGCGGAGCCGCGGGCAATGATAGTGCTAAATATACCTATTCCCGTCTGTCACCCTGTCTATCTCTTTTATCTTTACTATTTCTTCTAAGGCTTAAAAATATACGCGTTGATAGATCTATAGACGTTCGTCTTAATACAAACGTATCTGTTTATTTGATTACGGAAATCAAATATAACTATTTCCTCTTTTTTTATATTTATATACGTAAACAACTACTTAACAGTAACGTATACTTCCATTGAGTGCATTTCAAACATATAGTAAAGATATAACGTGGTGAGCGATTTTACTTCAGTGTTTAATTATACACAACTATTACTTAGTGATATAATGTACAGCAACCTAGGAAGACCATTACTGTGTCATCGAGAACGAGCGTGACTTTGTGTTCTACAAAGCGTAACGCATTTGCATGTAGGCTGTGACAGTTTTTTATCGATGTCCAAGACTTTTAATTTTCCACAAAATATATATTTGTGACCTATAACTCTACTTAAAACATATTTAAGTATCCCATAACAACATGTAATATTACAACATATTTTTTATCAATAAGTTAATAAGATTCGGTCATATTTATATTTACCTAAAATATAGAATTAGTATGTAAAGACTTATTTTTTTTCTACTATACGTGTTAAATACATACATATATGTATTATGTATTTATTATTTATGGACTGCAACCTTGGCCTGTTAATCATCAACATGTTAGAAATGATGGTCTTTGTAAAATATAATTACAATTACGTAATTTAAAATACAGTTGCGTAAAACTGTATTTATTAAAATATAAAAATTAATTACCTATGAGAAGGTTTGATATTGTGTAGTTTTTTGTGTAAGTTTGTTATTGTGTAATGTGGCAAGTGGCAACTACCAATCAATTCTCAAAGCTCCCTTAGATACCTGAATGGTATCTCTTCTCATTGTGCGTGACCCTGCGATGTGTCCGGCGATTTCTTGTATGTTGTCGGCTGGAACCGCCGTCGCCGCGGGGTCCACGCGGTGGCTGATTGCCTGCTGTATAATATATACCCGTATTCATATAAGGCATCAATCGAACCTACCACTTAGCTTTATACCGTTTCTCTAAAGATACAATTCTCACGTAACACTAATATTATACTACGAGTATAACGTACCGAAGGGTTGGGTCAAATGTCATTCGTTTTGTACGAAAAAACTGACGAGCTACAAGAATAGTACCTTATAAAAATAGTAAAAGATCAAATATAATAAAATGCAAAATAACGATTAGATGCAATTTTTAAAAAAGTATCTAATAGTGGAGTTAACTGAATTTTCTGCGTATATTTGTCATATGTACGTTTTGGGTAACACAACGGAATATGATAAAGTTCGATGACCTCAGCGTCTGATAAGGGCCGAGGTGAGGACGTTATCAGGTGGCGCATTGCAGACCCGAAAATGCTCAACCCGAAACCTGACATTTCGAGAGGTGGGCGATCAATACGTGTTTTGCACTTCTGTTTCTTATAAACACGCTAAGTTTACAATTAAAAGACTACAAAAATGTTCACAAATATTTTAAGTTTCACCTCAAAAAAATGTAATTAATTCATATTTAAATAAAGTCTATATTAAGAATAATAAGAGGAACATTTAATAATACCTATATATGCTAACTATACTTTAAGTTTTGAATAATATTCATAGTAAATCTCGAGCAGAAGACAAAATGGTAACTGCAATAAAGCCCTGCATAACTTTAAGATAGTTACAACTTTGAAACAATGACATTATTATGACTCAGGTCTTAACAATGAGGCACAAAACTATCTATATGTGTTCCTTATCAAAGAATGTATGCATTTCAAGCCTATACTTTCCAAAAGATCAGATTCAGGGACTGGATATCTATTTTAAATATTTTTAATAACGGTACCTGAAGTAAAACTTATAATTCGTTTTTAGATTGCGTATGCAGAGTTAAGTATTATATACGTAAAATGTGAATAGTCTGATGAAACTTATAACGATATCTAATATGTTGTTTGTCCCACATCAAAATATTTAGAATTTCTGATATAAAGTATATTAAATAGTTCAGCATAAACAGAAAATAAAGGTACATAGGTATGTAGACTAGAACATGCATTAGACACAGATATTAAGGATAATTAAACACTTAAATCTTTCGTGTACTCATGCCTGAAAAAAGATCATAATTCAATACGCACCTCATCACGTTTCACCTCGGGCCAAGGTTTTAACAATTACATTTTTTTTTTATTTATACGCGAGTTGCACCGCAAGCAAAAAGCTGATCCATTAATGAGTGCCAGGTATCTAGTGAAATATTACGTGCCATTACGGTGATATAGTATCGTGATGATAAAATGTGGTTGAAGTGCGTGTGGGGTCACCAACTAGCTAAACCATAAAAAAATAACAAAAATAACTAGAGTACATGTAAATAAATGCGTACACATTAAAATCGACGAACGCTGGACCTTGTTTATTAATTGTTTAGATTTTCAACATCTGATTTTTTTATATCGCGCTTTTTAGAGTGAAGGTCAGTCGACCTCATTATTGTAATGATTTCTACTACCGCCGAGCGTTTCAACGTCAATGTTACAATACCAGCTAATATTACCCATTTGTATAATACAGCATATTGTATAATATTCTGTGTTGCTACAAAACTCATTGTTGTCAGAATAATTGTGTTCGCTTGAAAATATCTATACCTAGTGGTGTAAAATGAAGTTACTAGTTCAACGCTCGCATTCTAAATTTAAACAATCCGAGAACAGATTTAAGATGGCCTCTTCGTTTGACCCTAGTTTGAATGATGAGACTTGAGACGCTAAGATCCCGATAGTTTCGCGAGAGTCCAGCATTCATCGACGGCCACCAATTGACACTTGACCCCTGAGACGCTTCTGTTGCGACCTTGGACTCGTAAGTACTGGAGATATTTTGATTAGAGTTACGTCACCAATTAGGAAGCAATAATTAATTATTAGAATTCAAAAGCAAAACCAGTACTTGCGAGAAAACAAAAATCAATACCTTATTACGGTTAGTTTAGGCTACTATGTTAAAAGCCATTTTGCTTTATAATTTTATAAGCTGACCTTGAGGCTGCTGCTGAGCGGCATAGGGCGAAAGAAGTCGTGTGCGTTTCTTCTCATATCCTTTTTGTGTAATGTCACCTGAAAAAGAAAACAATGTTTGAATAAAACGTTGAATCTCTTCACGTCACTCTGTTTGGACGTGAAAGAAGGATACACAAACAAACAAATACGGTTTCACATTTATAATATTAGATTGGATTTGATTTATAGTATTACATTTTATATAATTTGGCATAGATAGTGATAGTATTTTAGTTGGGACTAGCGTACGTTTTAATTCTTTTGAGCGGGACCTTACTTCTAAAATAAAAGTTGCCTAAGTTACTTCTTATAACATCAGCTACCTGCTAGTGAAAGTCCCATCAATATCATCGGATTATCCGGAACAGACAAACAGACAGACAGACAAAAAATTTAAAAATGGTGTTTTTCTTATAAGCACCGTATATAGTTTCATATACATTTAGTTCAAAGTGTTTTTTGACAATACAAACCGACACTTCAATTTTATTTATCTGTATAGATAGATAACTTTAACGTCCAGACCACTGGCCCATTGGGCTAAATTTTTAGTGTCTGATTGTGGTGAATTATTATGTAAATAGCTGACAAACACGTGTAAAACTGTTGAAAAGCAAAGTTAAAATATTATTGGTCTTTAAAAAGTCTAAAATTTGCCGCCGGAGCGTCGTGGTTGAGTGAGGAGAGGGGAAGTTCCTTTGGGTTTTAGTGGGTAGTTCTCTTAAGCCTATGAGTCCCAAATAATCACCTGTATGTATGCAGGTGGTATCTCTAAATGTATTTCGCAACGTCAAAAAAAAGGAGTTGACAGGTAGAAATCGTTATACATTACATTCGTTACATAGCGAAAAAAAAAACATTCGGTTCCGTACGGCGCAGTTTGGATGTTATCGTCAACGTCAAGCGCTGGCCGCCATACTTGTTTACATCACGTGTTAGTTAAAATGTGCTCGACGGTATACACCTATTAAAAAATCGTTTTTCAATAACTAACATTTTTTTTATTAAAAGAGAATTATATTATCTGATTATTGCGATTTTGTAATGGCGATTTAAAAAATGGAAACTGCAGCAAGTGTGTGTAATACAAACTTAGAAAAGTAAGTTAATAAAATGTTATATTTTGATACAAGTTTAATATTTTACGTTTAATGTTATTTAAGTGTTAATTATTTACTATTTACCCGAGTGTGCGACGTAAAGGAGATTATTGTGTTTATCAGTCTATGTATGTTTAGTATGTATGTTTGCTCCTATATGGTTTTCTAGAGACCAAACGCGAGGGCCGATTTTGATGATTCATACGTCGTAGATTCGTCTTGATAGGGCGAGTGGTATAGGATATATAAAAAATAATAAAAATAGTTAAAATTAAAATTGCAGATTTCATTAATAGCATATACAACTTACATATATCTTTAAAATGATAGGAAAGGATTAAAAATAGCTAAATAATGATTTACATACACATGTATGTAAATCTCGTAGCAAGGATGTAACGCGTATGTCTCCGATTGCATAATACTTTATTCCTTCGTCAACTTGTTTTTATCTTTTTAGTTAGCTTTTATACAGTTGGGTATGTTATTTTTATAATATATTTATATACATATATTTAAGTTATCCGTGCCTCTAAGGGTTCCCATGGTAAAGTATTAATATATCCGTAGAGTGTGCCAATAGACACTTTATAGGTATCAAATTATATTCGGAATTGAAGAAAAGGCGTGAGGAACTTCGTTCCTGACGGGAGTCCCCCGAACGTTAATATTAAAAAAACATTTCAACTTCAAAATTATAAGCTCTATATAGTCTATATCTTTTTTATAAAATAGTTTATTATAATGTATTAATATTAAATTGTCGTGGTCATTAAATTCAATATTTCGTGCAATAACTGTAAAGTCAATAATTCATTTATTTTTATTTATTTAGAATTGATACTTTCGATTATCGTTAATATTTTAAATGATAACCCATAACTCACAATATTTTAATTCTTATTAGGGCTAATGTAATGACCCCATACTTAGATTTATCTACTTAATTAAAAAGTATATAAATTTTATAATGTGAGTGTATATTGCCAAGAGTAGCTCTTGGAAATAATTATATTTAAAGAAATTATTGATAGAAGTCAAAGCAAAAAAGATATGCAATGAATAGTGATACTGTAGTGACAACCACGAAAAGCACAGCGTAAAGTTATGTGTGTATAATTAACGATTTTTTAATTACTTCGAAAGGTTGTTCAAATCCATTAAATAATAATTTAGTATTAATATGATTTACCATAAACCATTTCATTACGATAAAGCGTATTATTTACTGTAATTGTATTCTACAAGAAAGAGATATAGATAAACTACGACACGTATTAAAATTCTAGAACCACTGACCTCAAAAACCTCAAAGAGTTTAAATGACAATGTTTAGTCTATATTAAAAATTGTAACTAAGCCGAATCTGTACAATAAATATTTTTAGGAAAATCTTATTAAAATAGATATTACTATCGATGCAGAGGACGAATCTATAGTTTTTAGAATTTTTGTCTATCTGTCTTATGGCTTATTTACCAATAAGTCCTTTTTTCCATCTCAAATAGCCCCTCTCGACATTTGTAGAAGTATAACGAACACTTAAACACGTATAGCAAACAACAAAATCTTAATCGGAGGAAAAAAAAGCAAAAAACCATAAACTTTCTGAAACATTGCAACTGTATTTTCATTTGGGCGTCCAAAAGTTTAAACCTAATAATCTGATCCTACAATACAAGAGTTCACACAAATTCGTTTTGTCCTTTGACGACTGATAAATATACTCCTCTAATTGGGTAATTTGAAAAAATATCTACGTCACGGCAAAATGGCGAAAACAAGTTATACCTGCGTTGACAAATTTAAAAAATATTAGGGATGTATTTTTATTTTTATTTTTTTCCAAAAAGCTTCACGGTTCTCAAATAGCCCCATTCTACCGGTATACATATACTCGTAGATGTATTTGTTTAAAAATTATGTTACTTGTATCAAGTATTGTGGTCTATCCATACTAATATTATAAATTTGAAAGTGTGTTTGTTTGTTTGTCCTTCTTTCACGTCGAAACGGAGTAACGGATTGGCGTGATTTTTTATATGGAGATAGTTGGACGGCTGGAAAGTGACATAGGCTACTTTTTACCGCGGGAGATTATCTAATTCCCACGGGAAAACACGTTATGATACAATCCAAAAAAAATATTTATGATCAGAATTACTTGAAACTTGGTATTAATACTCTTCAATAAGATTAATAAATAAATACATGTTTTTGTATTTTTCGGAATTCATACTATAAGACGGTAAAATAGGGGATGAAAATTTGTATGGAACTACCTTTTTAGAGATTTTTTTGTAGTTTTAGCGCGAGCGAAGCCGCGGGTTTTGCTAGTATAATATAAATAATTATTTTATTACATTTATAAACTTCATTTTGTGAATGTTAGGAAATATTATTATGCTCAATCAAGTTATCCGATAACATGCCCGAGCCCGAGCTGTATCAATAATAATCGACAAGTCAATCGCATACAACTCTTTATAATATGTTATCTGCAAGTGCTTGGAGCATTCACAAATACAGAGACAGCCTTGTAACGTTATCCGTTGGAATATTTAAATATAATGCAAATTTTGAATAAGGTGGTGGTAGTGGTGGAGAATTCCCAAGGAGGGTTGACGTCAAGCAGAAGGCCGGTTGTAAAACTTTTGCCAAATCCTATCAGCAGTACAGAAGATGTACTGCGCCGACCCGAAGTGATTGAGAAATGGGCAGGAGGAAGAAGAAAAAGAAGTGGTGGAGAATATTAAAAAATATTTACAACTTCTATATAGCTTAAATTTGGATGTCGGTCTTTTTGATGGACCAGGCTGCAGCTCAGGATCTGCTTGACCTTCTATATCAAATACTTGAGGGAAAACTGCCGAAGGAAATGAAGCAGGATGAGTTGCTGCAATGATGAAATGACCAATCGATGCGCACTTTCTTCGCGCTGCATTTAGTGAGTTGCGTTTTAATTATTAGTTATATATATAAGTAGGTTAGTTTTAGGAAAATGTCTCATTTCTGTGAAAACATACAAAAACTACAATGTAAGAGTATACTAAAATGTAAAGCCTAAGAATCTGGTTTTTGGTCATCTGAACGCGGGCGGAGCCACAAGCAATGCTAGTAAAATTATATAGTTATGAAAACGTCTTGTTGCTAGTACTGTGACTTTAATTGGAATAATTCTTTTTTATATATATTACTCTACTCTAGAAAGACACTAATAGAGATCTATTAGTTCCCACGAGAACCATTCATTTTTCCGGGATGAAAAGTAACCTGTTGTTTGACCGGCAATATAAAGTATCAGAATGTTAAATTTTACTAAATTAGGTGCATAACTTGTTGTGTACTAAGCTGTATAAGTTACTATAGTTTTTTGACTATCCCACGGGAACTCTTTAATTTTGAAAATTGAAAAATGAAAAGTATCTTACATGTCGATCATGATATACCATGTATACGGTACGACCATGCAAAATTTCATTTAAATCGGTCCAATAGTTTCAAAGATTAGCCCATACAAACAGACAACCAGACAGAGAACCAAAAAAATGAAAAAATCTGGATTTGTTCTATTTTTCTTCTTACGGGATATAAGAAGATAACTGACTCGGTTTTTCGCATTTTTTTTCTATGTACAGACAGACATTCGACCTCTACAGTTTTATTATATTTATAGATAGAATAAATAACGTATAATAAAACAGTAATATATAATAATGAAAATAGTTATAGCGAGTGTACTTTAGGAGATACACATATAATACTATTGACAACTTTTCTATCGACCTTTTTAAGACTTACAATTTTCTTGTACAATGTTTGACTAAACGACGACGAAAAGACTAAAGTAGTTCCTTAAGAGATAGATCAAAATCATAAGATTTGATCTATCTCTTAAGGTTGAGCCAGCGTTTAGCCACATAAATTTCTAAGGACAATTCGACAGAACCAGTTATT